TCGAAATTAGAGCAAGGGAATAAGATGGTTGCAGAATATGGAGCTGAGTTTACGAAGTTGTCTAAATTTGCATCAGCATTTGAAGCAGACAAGGATAGCAAAGCACGAAAGTTCGAAGGTGGGCTAAGAACGAACATTATGCAACAGGTGGTTCCTTTTGAGTTACCTACATTTGGAGCAGTGTTGAATAAGGCATTATTTATTGGTTGAGAGTGGCCTCACTAGAGCCCAAGAAGAGAAAGAAGAGAATTATAAGAAGTGACCTAGTTCTACCAACTTTCAAACTAACAACAGTTCGAAGGGCAATGCTAAGAGACAAAACACTTCTTTGGTTGGGAGTTGGGGAAGTCGAACTGTGGGTGGTAGTGTTGACAAGCAGAACGATCGGGTACAATGCACTAGGTGTAATGGATTCCATTGGGATAGTGAGTGTCGTTGGAATACTGTGGCTTGTTTAGCTTGCGGGCAACAGAGGCATAGGATAGCTGATTGCCCTAACCGGAAGGGGCGTGAGACTGAACAGAAAGCATGGACAAACAAAGGAACATCAACAGACAGAGGGTCTTCAGGAAATCAAAAGAAAAATGGGGGTCATAAGCCAAAGACTCGGGTCGAGTGTACGCACTCACGCAACAAGATGTTCAGACTTCCAACACGGTGGTGTCAGGTACTGTTTTAGTGTCTTCTGTTTATGCACATGTGTTATTTGATTCTGGCGCTACAAATTCATTTGTGTCTATGGGATTTGTTGAGAAACATGGATGGAAATGTGTCTCTAGAGAGATCGACTTATGTGTTGAAACCCCGATAGGAGGTGTTATGGTTGTTAACTTAATTTGCAAATCTCGTGTGGTTAGTATAGATAATAGGAAATTGCTTGTAGACTTAACTGTTTTAGATATGCGAGACTTTGACATAATTCTTGGAATGGATTGGTTGGCAACCAATTATGCTTCTGTTGATTGTCGAGGCAAAAGGGTAGTATTTCAGATTCCTAATCAACCAGAATTTTGTTTTGTGAGTAGTGGAGTTAACACTCCTCTTCTAGTAATCATAGCATTGCAAGCTAGACGGTTGTTAAGGAATGGTTGCGAGGGCTATTTAGCTTCTGTGAGAGATACCCGTGAGACTGAATTGAAGTTAGAGGATATTCTAGTTGTGAAGGAATTTCCCGATGTTTTTCCTGAAGAGTTACCGGGGTTGCCACTAGATAGAGAGATTGAGTTTGCCATTGAATTGATACCCGACACGGGTCTTATCTCCAAGGCTCCGTATCGGATGGGCTCAGCAGAGTTGAAAGAGTTGAAGGAACAATTACAAGAGTTATAGATAAGAGCTTTATTCGGCCTAGTGTTTCTCCTTAGGGTGCGCCTGTTATATTTGTGAAAAAGAAGGATGGTAGTTTTCGCCTTTGCATTGATTATCGAGAGTTGAACAAGGTGACAATTCGAAATAAATATCCTTTGCCTAGGATAGATGACCTATTTGATCAGTTGAAAGGAGCACAAGTCTTTTCTAAGATTGATCTTCGTTCTGCCTATCATCAGTTGAAGGTTAAGGCGGAAGATATACCTAAGACAGCCTTTCGAACTAGATATGGGCATTATGAATTTTTAGTGATGCTGTTTGGGTTGACTAATGCGCCTGCAGCTTTTATGGATTTAATAAATAGAGTATTTAAACCCTTCTTAGATCAGTTTGTGGTAGTTTTTATTGATGACATTCTTGTGTCCTCGAAGAGTAAAGAGCAGCACGAAGAACATCTGAGAATAGTGTTGCAGATATTAAGGGAGAAGAAATTATTTGCTAAATTAAAGAAGTGTGAATTTTGGTTGGAGAGTGTATCATTTTTGGGTCATGTGATATCTAAAGATGGGGTGTCTGTTGACCCCAAGAAAGTGGAGGCGGTGGTGGAGTGGAATCGGCCTACTAGTGTCACTGAAATTTGTAGCTTCTTGGGTTAGCAGGATATTATAGAAGGTTTGTTGAGGGATTTTCCCGAATTTCTATGCCTTTGACTCGTTTAACACAAAAATGGGTTAAATTTGAGTGGTCTGATGATTGTGAGAAGAGTTTCCAAGATCTAAAGAGTCGATTGGTGTGTGCTCCAGTACTTATAGTTTCGTCCGGAGATGAAGGTTTTACTATCTATAGTGATGCATCGAAGATGGGCTTGGGTTGTGTCCTGATGCAGAATGATAAGGTAGTGCCATAAGCATCTAAGCAGTTGAAGCCATATGAGCAGAATTATCCTACGCATGATTTGGAGTTGGCTGCCGTGGTGTTTGTATTGAAAATCTGGAGGCACTACCTGTATGGGGTGAAATGTGAGATATTCACTGATCATAAAAGTTTGAAGTATATTTTCACTCAAAAAGAATTGAATATGAAGCAAAGGCGATGGTTGGAGCTATTAAAGGACTATGATTTGACTATCAATTATCATCTAGGAAAAGCCAATGCAGTGGCAGATGCCTTGAGTAGAAAGACCCCGAGTAATTTAGCTACCTTGATCACTGACCAAAAAAATATCTTGGAGGACTTGTAGAGGTTGAATATTGAGATTAGATGGCATAGCCATGGAGTGCAATTGGCAAACCTTAGAGTTCAACCCACATTGATTGATAGAATTAAAGGTGCTCAGGGAAGAGATCCTCAGTTGCAAAAACTTAAGGCTGAAATGGAAATAGGGCTACAGATGGAATTTTGTATGCATAAAGATGGAACCTTGAGATTTGGAGAGAGGTTGTGATTCTGAGCCTTGTCACAGGCTAAGTGACCGTAGTCATTAAGACTTGGGTTTTGTGAATCAAATCAGTGAACCATCTGAATATCAAACCATCGATTTGAACAACGAATTCATTTTGAATTATCTTGTTGGCTTTTCAATTAAAATGGATTGTACATTGTTTATTTTCAGTTAAGAAACCAACTTACAAATAATTGTTCATTTATTGAATTGTAGCAAAAAAATTATATTTATTGGTTACCAACTATTTATTTATTTTTGTATACTTGATCCAGCTAGCAGTGATGGTTGGTTATTTACTGGGCTATCTAGCTTACCCTTAATTTTTTTTTAGATTCTGAAGAATAAAGCTGCACGGGATTTTTTTTACATGTGGGAGTGCCGAGAGTAGGACTATGATTTAAGTACTTGGATTATTGTTTTGTTAGTGGATTAAATTAGTTGACTTGGTGGACATTTTCATATAAGAACTATTTATTTTTATGGATTTTGGCATTATGACAATTAAGGATTTAATTTGAGTATTTTACATTGTGGGTTATGTGATTGGATTCTTAGCCTTGCATGCTCACTTATATGATTGTGCGGCATTGTCACGGAGCTTGGGGCGTGACATATGTAGTACTAATTTCAACAAAGATTTCAAGTTGATTTTTGCTTTTTACTTACAGAAAGTGGTCAATGTAAAACCTCTAATTTAATCAAAGGTCAACTGATCTCACACCCCTCAAGTAACTGTTGCATGAAAATTAGAACAATTAGAGCTTTCTCTTTTGAATTAAAGGTCAACTTTTGGGTCGAGTAGTGATCGACCCATCATTTTGGGTTGAATTAATTTTTTATTTTCAATTGCACTTTTTGATTAAAAAGTCAACATATCATTGTGGGTTGAATTGTGAGATCTTTTTAGAGGTCTCAAACATTTTCCAATTAGAAATTATTTGATCATGGATTCAAATAAGAGATTTTGCAAGAGGAAAAAAAAAGAAATTTTTTCCTTCTCTTTTCTTTTCTCGCTATAAATCCTTTCTCAAATTCTTGATCTACCACAGCCTAAATGTCATTGTTTGTGCACATCACAATGAATTAGTTTACGTTTGAATTTGTTGTAAAGTGGTTTATAAGAATGAGTTTGAAATTAGGCCATCTGATGAGTGTTAGGATCAAACACACCCAGAAAATAATCTCACACAGACATAGAACACAATATTTATGTGGTTCAGCCCAATGCCTACATCCACGGACAGAAATGAGAATTTTCCACTAAAATGGAGCAAAATACAAAACAGAGAAGGAGGAGTATCTCACTCTCTCTACTCAACTCAAAGCTCTCATACACTTCTCACAACTCTCTCTTTTCTGATACAAATCACCATCTCTCTCCTATTTCTATTTATACACAAAGAGAGTGAGGGAGAGAAGACAAACTCACCACCATTTTCTACCTTCTTTAATGGTGATAGTCAACAATGGCTACAACGGGAAGAGAAGGGAGAAGTGCCCAGCTTAGACCTTCACTTCACCTGTGGTGGAAGTCTTTACACGCCATCCTTCCTTGACTCTCTCCTTTGCTTGCATGGAGTTGGAGCAATAATTGGCCTGCAGCATGAGGATCACCCCTTTCACATGGGGTGACCTCCAACAATGAGGAGGCTCATACTGAATGGAGGATTGTTAGTGAATAAAATGGATACACGTAGAAAGCAAGCCATTCATGCACACATTAAAGTATTGGTTAATGTTCCTTTGATCCTAACCTTGATATCCCATCCACATCCTAAAAATTTTTGTTAGTCCCCTACAAATCTGGATCAAGTTGTCCCTTGTATCTTTATTGATATCATATAATATGATTTGTTGTTGTTGTTATTGATGACTTCAATTTTATAGTTGTTCTTTGAAGCAAGACAAAAGGTGAGGTAGCTTCAATTTTATAGTGGCGAACACAGGTAATGTGGCAGTAATATAGCAATGCATGGGAGGCCAAAAGGTGGTGATGAAATGACAACACATTATTAGGACACCGCATCCTATATAAAAAATAACAAATTATTGCATCATTGTTGACAAAGATTAACCTAGTTCAAAGGGAGCCCACACTGTCATCACATGCTCTGATGCTAATCACATTCTTATCAAGAGTCCATGACTCATCTTGTCCCCTTTCATGTGTTAATATAAATAGAAAAGCATTGAGCTTGTAGTTTCCATCACAAATTTGAGCTTGTTTTGGAAACAAGAGCAACAAAAAATGGGTTGTTCTTCAAAAACTGAGAGATCAATTAGTTTGCCTTGCAGATCACATCCTAGCACTGTTAGAGTTGAGGAGGAGCTAAACAAGATCAAGACTTGGGATGCATCGTTGAAAGAAATCAATTATGGTCTATCAAGATTGGAGGATTTGTACAAATGCATGGAAGATCTTCTCAACTTGCCACTTACCCAACAAGCCCTCTCTCATCACCAACATGAGAAATGGACTAGCGACTTGCAGGATGGATTCATACTGCTTTTGGACATTTGTGGCACTGCAAGGGATGTCATGACACAAATGATGGAACATGCTAGAGATCTTCAATCCACTTTCAGAAGGAGAAAAGGTGATTCAAGCATTGAAACTAGCATTGCTAAATACAATTGTTTTAGGAAGAACACAAACAAGGATGCCAAGAAGTTGATTGCAGCAATGAAGCAAATCGACAACAAAATTAAGGCCACACCACTCTTAGAGCTAGATCAACATGTCTCATCAGTGATTAAAGCGCTGAGAGAGGTTGTTGCAGCAAGCATCTCTATCCTCCATTTGGTTCTCTTGTTCTTGTCCGTGCCAATTTTGAAATTAAAGCCAGCAAGATGGTCACTGTTTTCAAAGTTGCTCTACAAAGGGGCAATTGCGTGTGAAAATCATCTACAGGAGAATGTGAATAAGTTGGAGAAGGTCGATGTTGCATTGCATAGCCTATGCAGAGGTGATTCAATTGAAGGGGATAAGTTGCAAATTGCACAGAATAGCCTCAAGTCTTTGGAGGCTAGCATTGAAGATGTTGAGAATGTTTTGGAGTGCTTGTTTAGGCGATTCATTAAAACAAGGGTCACTCTTCTAAACATAGTCTCCCACTAATATGTCAAGTCCCTAAAATCCTGCATAGGGCATCTGAGTTTTAGAGGATATGTGTGTCGATTTCAATTTTGTTTGTTAGCCATGTATATGAATCAAAATTTGTATTCATGCAAGTAAATACAATAAAATACACTTTTTAAAGTCCCACTAATATTACCTCTCTCTCTCTCTGTCTCTCTCTAATACAACTATGCAACTAAATATAAGAAATATTTTCCTTTGAAAAATGTTTTCACGAAAAGAGTACAAAAAGAATAATTACAATTGTGGGAATAGAGTAATCAATGTTATTTATTTATTTATTTGTACATTTGGTAGAGGGGAATAAGAAAAGAGAAAGGTGCATCTCGCAATGTTGAAACTCAAACTCAGAAATCAATCACCAATGGTGGAGCTAGGATTCTGGTTGAAGAGGGATTACTAAGGCAAATTATTGGAACATGTTGATTTGAGACCCGGGGCATAATTTATGAAAGAAATAAGAGAGTGATATTGAGAGAGTAAGAAAACTCTTGTATTCAATATATCTGAAAGTGTAAGAAGAGACTCTATATATAGGAGCTGCTTATATAACATCGTGTAAGAAGAGACTTCATATATAGGAGCTGCTTATACAACATCATTATGAAAGCAAAACATTATAATAATAGAAAGCATCCGAAAGCGAAGGCAACCGAATATATAATAAGAATCCTATGCTCCTACGCTCTGTTATCCTATAGCTATTAATATATGATACATTAACAACCCCCCTCAAACTCAAGGAGGACAAACATCAACCAACTGGAGTTTGGAGACAAGTTCAACGAAGCGGCTAGGAGAATGAGCTTTGGTGAAGATATCAGCAGGTTGATCAACAGAAGAGATCGGATGGAGATGGACAGTACCACGAGTGACGTGTTGACGAATAAAATGGCAGTCAATCTCAATGTGCTTGGTGTGATAATGAAAAACATCATTGTGAACAATTTGAAGAGCACTGTGATTGTCACAAAAGAGGTCAGTAGCACCAAAGGGGGTAACACCCATGTCAAGCTAGAGAAGTTCTTGAGTAGTATCAGCAAGAGCACGGTATTCGGCCTCGGTACTGGAACGAGCAGTAAGAGATTGTTTCTTGCTACGCCAAGAAATAAGAGAATCACCTAGAAAAAAGTAGAACCCAGTAGTAGAGCGCCGGTCTGTAGGATCTCCAGCCCAATCAGCATCGGAGAAAGCACGAAGTTGGAGAGATGAGCGGGCAGAATAATGAAGACCATGAAACATGGTGCCTTTGAGATACCGAAGGATACGAACCAAGGCAGCATAATGAGGGGTATGAGGAGCCGACATAAACTGGCTGACAATATGAACGGCATAGGCAATATCAGGATGAGTAACAGTGAGATAGACAAGACTGCCAACCAGCTGACGATATAGTGTAGCATCAGAGAGAAGAGTGCCATCAAGAGATGTAAGACGACTCTGAGGTTCCAGGGGAGTAGAGGCAGTCTTACAATCCGTAAGACCATCACGTGTGAGAAGATCAGAGGTATACTTAGCCTGAGAGAGAAAAGAACCCGTAGAATCATGGAAGATTTCAAGACCCAAGAAATAGCTGAGAGGACCAAGGTCTTTCATCTCGAAATGATGGCTAAGAAACTGTTTAAGGCGAAGAATACCATCGATATCATCACCGGTGATAATCATGTCATCCACATAAAGTAAAAGCAGGGTGGTCCCTTGAGCTGTTTTCAGGATAAAAAGAGCAGTATCATAAGAGCTAGAAGTGAAACCACATTTCTGAATAGTGGAGCTGAACTTGGCAAACCAAGCGCGTAGAGCTTGATTGAGACCATATAAAGCACGCTGAAGTTTACAGACTTGATGCGAGGGATAAGCAGACCCAGGGTGAGGTTGCATGTAGACCTCCTCGAGAAGAACACCATTAAGAAAAGCATTTTTCACGTCCAGTTGATAAAGATCCCATTGTCGGGTGGTAGCAACAGCAATCAAACTGCGAACAGAGGTGAGACGAGCAACATGAGCAAAGGTCTCCTCATAATCAATACCATATTCTTGATTGAAGCCTTTTGCAACAAGGCGGGCTTTGTAGCGCTCAATAGATCCATCAGAACAAGTCTTGATTTTGTGTACCCATTTGTAGCCAATGGCAGTCTTGCTAGGAGGAAGATCAACAATGTCCCAAGTATGAGTTTTGTCTAAAGCCTGTAATTCATCAGTCATAGCTTGCTGCCAAAGAGGATTAGAGCGAGCCTCACGATAGGAGGTCGGTTCATAAGTAGAAAAAGCAGTAGAACCAACAATAAAGTCACGAAGACGAGTAGAAGGTTGGGTTACCAGATGTGGTCAAGCAGAGGGAGGAGGAGCCAGAGGAAGAGGCTCAGCAGGAGGGGAGGATCCCGATGGAACAAGAGCAGGACCATCAGAGGGAGCAGGTGCATGGGACAAACCGGTAGGCAAGGCGATCCCGAGAAAGGTTGGCAGGGGCGGTGGAGTAAGCGTATCAGAAAACTCGAGAGAGGCTGGCAAGGGTGGTGGAGTAAGGTCATCAGAAAACAGATCTGTGGAAGGGTCAGTAAAGAAAAGAGAAGGTAAGGGAACAGACAAACGGAAGGGAGAGAGAGAGGAAAATATTTTGTGTTCCCAAAAGACCACATGACGAGAGATACGAAGTCGCTAGGAGAGAGGATTCCAACAACGATATCCCTTATGTTCAATACCATACCCCAAGAAGCAACAAAGGTGGGAACGAGGTTCAAGTTTGGTACGTTCATGAGGTTGGAGAAGAACAAAACAGGCAGAGCCAAAGACTCTAAGGTTGGTGTAAGGGGGACGGATGCCATGCAGACGCTCATAAGGAGTGTGATTATGAATGACAGGTGTAGGGATACAATTGATAGTGTAAGCAGCAGTGAGAGCTGCCTCTCCCAAAAAATGTTTCGGACAAGAAGAAGACAAAAGAAGAGCGCGAGTAGTGTCGAGAATATGCCGATGTTTCCGTTCAGCACGTCCATTTTGTTGAGACGTGCTGGGACAGGATCGATGAGGTTGAGTACCACGACTCTAAAGGAAGGAAAGAAAGTCAAAATCTTTATATTCCATGGCATTGTCGGAACGGAAAAGCTTAATAGTTTTAGAAAATTGTGTTTTAACCATTACAGCAAAATTGTAATAAAGTTGTTTGAGTTCAGATCGAGTTTTCATAAGAAACAACCATGTAAAATGAGAAAAATCATCTACAAAACAACAAAATAGCGGGCACCGCCTATAGTGGGAGTAGGAGAGGGTCCTCAAATATCAGAATGGATGAGATCAAATAGTGCAAGAGAAACAGAGTCACTTTTATTAAACGACAAAGCAGGTTGTTTGGCAAGTTAACAGGACACACAATCTAAAGCATTAGAACTTACAGGACCTAAATGACCACTAGAAATTAAAGATTTTAAACGACTAACAGAAAGATGGCCTAAACGACAGTGCCAAAGCTGAAAAGGAGATAAAGGAGGAGTAGTGGTAGCAGTGGTAGCAGTGGTAGGAGCTGTGTTCTGAGAGGAATCCGGAACATGAAGATGGATAAGTTCGTAGAGATGTCCATGCTTACGGCCTATCCCAAGAGTTTGCCCCGTCCGAGGGTCCTGCACCAAATAACCAGTATGGGAAAAGGTAACAGTTAGACCATGCTCACATAATTGACTAATGGATATAAGATTTAAAGTGAGAGCAGGCATAAGATAGACATGAGATAAAGATAAGTGAGAGGTGGAAACAGACCAACATGACTTACAGATAGAGGAGACCCATCAGCAGTATGGATAGAATGAACAGGAGAAGTAGAAGAGAGAGGAGTAAAAATAGTAGGGTCAAAGGTCATGTGATTACAACAAGCGGAGTCAAAGTACCAGGAAGTGTTACCTGCGGTGACAGACAAAGCAGTAGATGGAGAAGTACCGAAATTCTGCCAAAAATGGTGAAACATGGCTTTGACATTTGTGTGAGAGAAGACTGGAGTGGAAGGATCTATAGGGACAAAGGCAGGTAAATCCTCTGAGGCAGCAGCAGCAGTGCGTTGAGCAGGCATTGGTTTAAACGGAGTCCTAGAACGGTAAGAGTTGTTGCGGGAAAAATGCCTGGGGGAGGGACCATTGCGAGAGGCACGGGCAGGGTTGCGGAAGCAATCGTGCTGGAGATGACCAGGACCAGTCTTGTTGCAAAACCAACAAAGACGAACTGGACAATTAACCAGAAGATGAGTCGACGAAAGACTGCAGTTTTGACAATAGTTACAGATAGTTGTCTTCTGTGGGGAAGATGGTGAAGGAGAACTTCGAATCTGGGAAGTAGCAAGAACAGAGTCCACAGGGTGCGGATGGAGAGTACCAAACTTGGTTTCCTCAGATAGTAGTTCAGAAATTGCTTGCTCAAGTGGGTAAAGGAGTGCGATGAAGGAGAGATGCGCGGATTGGCTTAAAACGGGGAGTGAGAGCCATGAGAAACTGAACCAAGCATTGTTGGTCACGGTAAATAGTAAACAAGGCAGCATCCTTAGTACAATCCCATAGAGGTTCAGAGAGAGCGAGCTGATCCCAAACATAATACATTTGTGAGAGGAAATCATTAATGGTTTGAGTTGTGTCTTGGCGCATACGGTGAAGATGACTCAGAAGCTGATATTGGTGAGCAAGGCCAGTAGTCTGATAGCGTTCTTATAAAAAATCCCAGATGGCTTTGGCTGGAGAGGAAGCAGAGTCAAGTTGGAACCGACCAAACTGAAGGCTGATAGAAGTAATAGAAGTATTACAAAGCCAAGTGATGATCTGATAGTTTTTGCTATCCCAATCCTCCAGACGGTCGACATATTTGGCAGTGGAGTTCGTGGTGGTAGCGGATTCTATGGTAGTTAGAATGGGTTTGCACACATCCCCAGTGATGATGCGCCAAAGTTTCTTTCCTTTGAGGAACCCAGACATAGCTTGTTCCCATAAGACATAGTTAGTTCCGTCAAGAACAACGGAAATAGGGTGGTTAGAGGAGTCCAGGCGATCCATGAGGAAAAAGCAGTACTATCAAGGCCGAATCTTAAAAATCCGAGGTTACCAGTGAATTCAGAGAGTCGAAATCAGTGGGAAATGAGTGAACGGACCAAAAAAAAAGATGACCAGAAGGCACTAAATTGGCTTGTCAAAGTTGGTCAACAATTCTGGTCAAAGATGACGTCACTACTGCAAATGGTGATGTCACAGGCGCGGCGCACGTTAGCATAGACAGGCGCGGCGTATGATAGCAGAGGAAACAAGCGGCTCACGGAAGCAACCAGGGCTGACGTCAGCTGACGTCAAAAATACGCGGCTCACATTAGCAGATGAGGCCGCGGTGCATAATAGCACGGGACAAGTGTTGAGGCGCGTAGAGCGCGTCTGAGAACGAGGAAGCGCGTGGATGAAAGTTCTGGCGGCGCGTGGCGGCCCGTGGAACGTCGGATGAGGATGAATTTGGTGGCGTTGGATTCGTCGTGAGGAGACGAAGGTTCTGGTGTGGTCCAATCTGTAATTTAGATAAGGACGAGATATGCAACAATCTGCTCAAAATAAAAATGTGATGCAGCGGAGGAAGAGACTAGGCAATACACCTGTGCTCTGATACCATGAAAGAAATAAGAGAGTGATATTGAGAGAGTAAGAAAACTCTTGTATTCAATATATCTGAAAGTGTAAGAAGAGACTCCATATATAGGAGCTGCTTATACATCATCGTGTAAGAAGAGACTCCATATATAGGAGTTGCTTATACAACATCATTATGAAAGCAAAACATTATAATAATAGAAAGCCGCCGAAAGCGAAGGCAACCGAATATATAATAAGAATCCTATGCTCCTATGCTCTGTCAACCTATAGCTATTAATATATGATACATTAATATATATAATATATACATTATTATGATACATTAATATGATACATTAACAATTTAGTTTGGGTTGATGAAATTTTATTTTATTTTTATCAAGTTTAATTACAACAAAAAATTATTGTAACATTTAAATCTATAAAGTCTCAAGCAATAAAAAATAAAAATAAAATTGAAAATTTTAATAAAATACGCCAAATAAAAGGAACTCTTTCTTAAATTTATTTGTGTAGTAGATAAGGAGTCAATTTATATCCTGTTCTAATCAATGGTGTGTCGAGTTTATTGTAAGAAGAAAGACAAGATAAAGGGCATAGGTAAAAAAATTTGAAGAGGAAAGTTATAATTTTCAAAACATTAGGATAAAAAAATAATTTTTGAAAAGTTGAGGGTTATGTGCCAGTTGATATCACACTCGGTAAGAGAGAGCCTCATCCATCAAGCCATGCTCTTGGTGTCAACTTGTAGATCAATACTTCCAACGATATTTGTGGAAGATTTTGAAATTACAGAAATAAGAAAAATTGAACTTCAGACCATTCAATTCCGGCAGATGTTCAAAAATTTGAACAGCTGTGGGAAAATTAAAAAAAAAATTCTCCTGCAATTTGGAAGTTGAATGCTTATGAGAAGAAAAGTTCCATGTTTTTTTTTTTTTTTTGAAGAAAAGTTTCGTGTTTCATACTATTTTATTGCTCCAAAATGATTAAGAAGAAAGTAGATAAGTTAATCATTCTTATTGACCGCTGAACTAATGGCTAATTAGTGAACATATAACACGTATAGTGGAGACATACCGACAAGAAGCCATTTGTGCATATATTAAAATTATTAGGGATCTTGATCTCTCCAGTGTCTTCATTACCATCACATAATAACTGTGGTTTGTTGTTGTTGATGATGACTTGACAGGCCACGTCTGTGGAGGTGAGGCAGCTTCAATTTTATAGTATTAGACACACTGTAATGTGGCAATAATGGCGCAATGCAGGGGAGGCAAAAGGGTGGTGATAACACTTATTATTAGGACACCTCATGCTATATATAAAATAAAATATAACAAATCATTGTGTCATTGTTGACAAAGACATAACAAGTGATGCTCATCACATTATTATGAAGAGTCTATGACTCATCTTGTCTCCTTTTCACGTGTTATATAAATAGCAAATCATAGAGCTTGTTGTATTATGCATCACAAATTTGAGCTTCATTTGTAAACAACAACAACAAAAATGGGGAGTTTTTCAAAAACCAAGCGATCAATTAGCTTGCCTTGCCAATCACATCCTAGCACTGCTAGAATTGAGGAGGAGCTTAACAAGATGAAGATTTGGGATGAATCCTCTAAGCCCACAGTGAAAGCAGTCAGCAATGGCATGTCAAGATTGGAGGACTTGTACAAGTGCATGGAAGATCTTCTCAACTTGCCACGTACCCAACAAGCCCTCTCTCATCACCAACATGAGAAATGGATCGGTGACTTGCAGGCTGGATTTGTGAACCTTTTGGATATTTGTGGCACTGAAAGGGATGTCATGACACAAATCAAGGAACATGTTAGAGATCTTCAATCCGCTCTCAGAAGGAGAAAAGGAGATTCAAGCATCGAAACCAACATTGCTAAATACACTCGCTTTAGGAAGAAGGCAAAGAAGGATGCCAAAAAGTTGATTGCAGCAATGAAGAAAATCGACAACAAAATTGAGGCCACACCACTCCTAGAGCTAGATCAACACATCTCATCAGTGATTGAAGCACTCAGAGAAATTGTTGCAGCAGGCACCTCTATCCTCCATTCGCTTCTCTTGTTCTTGTCTGTACCAATTTTGAAATCAAAGTCAACAAGGCGGTCACTGGTTGCAAAATTGCTCCACAAAGGGGCAGTGGCTTGTGAAAATCATCTACAGGAGAATGTGAATGAGTTGGAAAGTGTAGATGTTGCATGGCACAGCTTATGCAAAAGTGATTCAAGTGAAGGAGACAAGTTGCAAATTGCACAAATCAGCTTCAAGTCTTTGGAGGCTAGCATTGAAGAGGTTGAGAATGTTTTGGAGTGCTTGTTTAGGCGATTCATTAAAGCAAGGGTCACTCTTCTAAACATAGTCTCCCACTAATCTGAGCTCAATAGATGTCCCCCATATCCTGCATATCCGAGTTTTAGAGGATATGTGTGTGGATTTCAGTTTTGTATTCGATAGCTATCTAGCCATGTACATGAATCAAAATATTTAGTCATGCAAGTAAATACAAAAGTACAAAGCTTAAAGATCCACTACGTCTCTCTCTCTCTCTCGATAATTTATAGAAAAAACTGCCAAAATTGTGATAGCCTAAATATCAAGGCTTTATGCAACCAAGAGGTTGTTGCTCGTGTGATTAGCCCTTTGGCTGCCAAATCTCTCCTAAGGGGAGGTCCTAGGTTCCACTTTTAGGAATGGAATGGGAGGCAAGACTTAAGTGCTTGCAAGGAGAGGGTAAGAGTTCAATTACCCTTAAGTGATAATCTAACAACTAAACACTAACTTTCACCAAGTAGCTATGTTGCAGATACAATGTCATAAAAGAAACATGCAAATTTCTGTTCTGGTCCAGGAAGAATAAGTAAAAAAACTATTTACTTGAATGAACTCAACGATGAATAGAATTTACGTCCACTGTGTGTAAAATTCAGAAATTGCGACTGTTTTTCGATCTGTCTGTTTGATTAGGTGACTAAATTTGATGCTGTACGATTATCAGGAAGGCTGGGTACAAGAAAAAATTAAATACAAGACATTAGCAAACCTAATGTCTGATTAGGAGAGCAAGAAGTTATTACTAGCAAATAATATTGGCTCAATTAATGAGAAATTGTGCCATCACATCTTACACAATTAGTAATGCATGTTGTACAAAGTATGGGAAAGAAAGATAACCCTCATATCATTTTTTATTCCAGGCTATAGTTTGAAAAAATGGCATGAAGCAATTCCCCAGTCCTATGGAAGTAGTTTCTTTGGGATCCATTGAACAAGGATTATTTAGGATCAACTTGTGAATTTTTGGCACCGTAATGGAATGACTAGTAGAGCAGTCGTTGCCCCACTGACTTTTTGAAAATTATCATTTTACTTATAATTTTTAAAAGAGTGCTGTTAATAGGCCACACCAAATTTTTCAGACCCCTCACTTGTTTGCACCACTATCTACCCAAATTATTCCCTTCCTCTTTCCTTTCAACACCCACCTTAATCCCAAATGCATGATGATGATGATGATGACGCCTCCCATGTTTTTAGCTTGTTGAGCTCTTCCTCGATTCTAACTGTTCTAGGATATGATCTGCTAGGCAAACTAATTGACCTGATGTGGCAATGAGTTTTGAGATTTGAAGAATGAACCATGGTTTTCTTATTCTCACAGAAAAGCTCAAGTTTGTGATGGTATATACAACCTCAACGCTTGTGTTTATATGTTATACCTCATGAAAAGAAACATAATTGAACCATGGACTCTCTGTTACAACAATTTGATGAGCCATGTGATGCCAGTGTGGGCTTCCCATCAAATTTGGTCATCTTGTCACATCTTTGGTGAACATTGATCTAATAATTGTTATTTTATATATGTTTGTTGTACCAATTTTCATAAGAGTCAGTAGCTCTTGCCTCCCCTGCATTGCGCCATTGCTGCCACATTGGCTTTTGTTGGCTACTAAAAAATTGAAGCTTGCCTCACCATCCACAGACCTAGATTGTCAAGGTTGTTTGGAAGAACCTTGAGTCATCTATGACAACAACAAATCATAATTAATTATGTGGTGGCATTAAGACACTGGGTAGATCAAGATCCGGATCTGTTGGGATTTAACAAAAAATAGAAATGGAGGTGGGTTATCAATTTTGGGATCAAAGAGTTACATAAACAAAAGTAGAGTACATATTTTAATGTGTGCATGAATGGTTTCTTGTCGGTATATGTCTCTATTATATGTCTATATCTACTAATGCTCCATAATGCATTAATTAAGAGGTTGATCTAAATTACATCCGCACTGTTATAAGGTGACTACTTTTACATAATTCAAATGCAATTAATCAATGTAGCATGGTTTAATATTATTAATCTCCAAGAAATTAAGAATATAATATTGAACTTCCATTCTTTAAGGAAATGTATGATCATTTGTAATTCATAATTCCAAGTTTCCTTATATTACAACATCTACATGTGGTGGAATGCAAATATTACTACTTCAAGATCTGTACATCAGGAAGCAATTAGTAATTTATGAAGCACTTAGTAATTTATATTAATTTCCTGCATATGGTTATGATAAGATTTATGCTCAGCTCTATCTTGAAGCACTTAATAATTTATGCATAATTATTAGCCTTAACTCAATTTTGTTTTGAATAGCCAACAAAAACTATATATATTAAAAAATAAAAAGGTGCAATAATAGACTACACATAGCCCCTCCGAAATCCTAATTATCATTTTCAACTACTTCAACTCTATAATAGGATTGGAACTGAAATTTTCCCAAAAGAAAAAAAAAATGTTGGTTGAAATTAATCTCTCCATTCATCCAACATCAGGCTGCTAATGTCTTGCAAATAATTTTTTCGTGTACACAGCCTTCTTGAAGGTCCAACAATATCAAATTTAGTCACCCAATCAAAGAGATAGGGATCAGAAAAGGGTTGCAATCTCTGGATTTTACAAAAATAGAGGAAATTAAATTATATTCATGATTGAGTCCATTGAAGTAAATACCTGCTATATTTTTCCATCTTCCTGGACCAGGACAGAAATTTGTCTCCCTAGTTTCTCTTACAACTTTTTATCTGCTACAGAGCTACTTGCTAAAACATTATGCATAAGGACTTGCATTGATATTCAGGTTATCACAATTTTGAAATTTTTTATTCTAAATTATGGAGAGAGAGAGAGAGAGAGAGAGAGAGAGAGATAATATGTTAGTGAAGCATTAAAATTTGTATTGTATTTTCTTGCATGACTACTTATTTTGATTCATGTACATGTATAGTTGTAGAATACAAAACTAAAATCCATAATTGTACTCGAATGCCTATGGGGATATCTATTGAGATCACAATTGGTGAGAGACTATGTTTAGAAGAGTGGCCCTTGCTTTAACGAACCGCCTAAACAAGCACTCCAAAACATTCTCAACATCTTCAATTCTAGTCTCCAAAGACTTGAGGCTGTTCTGTGCACTTTGCATCTTATCCCCTTCATTTGAATCACTTCTGCATAAGCTGTGCAATGCAACATCTACACTTTCCAACTCATTCACATTCTCCTGATTTTCACAAGCCACCTCCCCTTTCTGGACCAATTTTGAAACCAGTGACCACCTTGTTGACTTTGATTTCAAAATAGGCATGGACAAGAACAAGAGAACTGAATGGAGTATAGAGATGCTAGCTGCAACAACTTCTCTCAGTGCTTTAATCAGTGATGAGATGTGCTGATCTAGCTCTAGCAGTGGTGTGGCCTCAATTTTGTTGTCCATATGCTTCATCACTGCAATCAACTTCTTGGCATCCTTCTTGGTGTTCTTCCTAAAGCAAGTGTATTTAGCAATGCTGATTTCAATGCTTGAATCTCCTTTTCTCCTTCTGAGAGCGGATTGAAGATCTCTAACATGTTCCTTGATTTGTGTCATGACATCCCTTTCAGTGCCACAAATATCCAAAAGGCTCACGAATCCATCTTGCAAGTCACCGATCCATTTCTCATGGTGGTGGTGAGAGAGGGCTTGTTGGGTAAGTGGCAAGTTGAGAAGATCTTGCATGCACTTGTTCAAGTCTTCCAATCTTGATAGACCATTGCTAATTGCCTCTGCAGTTGGTGTAGACGATGATTCCCATGTCTTGATCTTGTTCAGCTCCTCCTCAATTCTAACCGTGCTAGGGTGTGATCTGCAAGGCAAACTAATTGATCGGATGTGGAAATGACTCTTGGTTTTTGAAAAACTACCCATAGTCATTGTTGTTTTTTTTGTTTTATGTTTTCAAATGAAGCTCAAATTTGTGATGGCAACTACCAGGTCTATGCTTTGCTATTTATATAACACGTGAAAGGAGACAAGATGAGTCATGGACTGTTCATAACAATGTGAGGTCCATGTGATTCCATGGTGGGCTCGCTTTGAATTAGGTTAACTTTCTATTTTTATGTAGGATGAGGTGTCCTAATAATATGTGTTGTCATTTCATCACCACCCTTTTGCCTCCCTTGCATTCTGCAATCACTGCCACATTAGCCTTGTGTTTGCTACTATAAAATTGAAGCTGCCTCGCATCCACAGACGTGGCATGTTACGGTTGTCTCGTTTGGAAGAGCCTCAAGCCACCAATAACAAAAACTAATCATAGTTGTACTATAGCAATAAAGATAGAGAAGACTATGAGATCCAGACTTTTAGGGACTAACAAAAATTTTAGAGATGTGGATGGGATACGAAGGTTAGGACTAAAGAAACATAACTAACATTTTAATGTGTGCACGAATGGCTCATAGCTACGTGTGTACACTTTATTCACTAATTATCCATTTAGTAGGGAGACTAATCAGATGGCCAAACTACAAATTTAAGGATAATTCCTTTCGCTCAAACTTGTTTAAATTTCTGAACTTTGGCAGGAATTGAATAGTCCGGATTTCAATTTAGCCAAAATTTTCAGATCATCTATACATGCTTACAAACTACTTCACAACTGTTTCTGTGAAAAGCATTTCCTCACAGAAAACATTTTCTTAGGAAAACTTTTTCCAAATTTTTTTTTCTTGAGAAAACATTTTTTTGTATTTGGTTGTGTCCGTGAAACCAATGTCATAATGGTTGTATTAGTGGTGGTGATGGCAGTGGTAGTGTAGTGGTATTGGAAAACTTTAGTCTAAGAAATATTTTTTACCTTATCAAAGTGAAAAATATTTCTACCTACATAGGCTCATTTTCTATAAACTTTCATTTTTTATTATACCAAACTCTAGAAAATACATAAGCCGAAATAAATGGAGCACAATTGTAAACTAATTCATTGTGGCATGGTTTAGTGTCATTAAATTATTTCTAATTTGGGGGTGATAATTTTCACACATTAGAGCCGTGATTTCAGTGGACCTTTGAGTAAATCAGAACTTTCACATTGACACTTTCTGTAAGTAAAAGGCAACAATCAGCTCATGAAGTTTGTGAGAGTACAAAATTAATTTTTAAGTCTATGGTATGTAATGAAAATGGTTGAAAGTGAGGGAAATGAAAAAAAAATATATATGTCTATATATCTATATATTGAGTTTGTTTAACATAAAGTGGTAAAAGTTACATAAAAGTTAATTTTCACGGACAACTCAGGATAGCATGGCAACTAAACTTTTAGTTTCTTGCAAAAAACACAAAAAAAATATAAGAAAATTAAATTCGTTATAAAAGTAGTTACTTATAATTAGAATTCCTATTTTCTTGCAAAATTTTCATCCTAATCAAATTCATAAAATAAAGTATATTTTCTCTTCCTTTCCATTTCTTTCATTTCATTTTTTATCATTTTCACTTTTCTTACTTTCTTTCTTTTTAATCGATTGGAACCTAGATTAAGATATAAACATGCAGAGTTCCTAACTCTTTTTGTCTTTTTTTTTTTGTTTTGCCGACAGTCAAGTTATGATATCAATCAAACTGAAACTACTTTATCCCAAAAGGTACACAAGAAATTATCTTATTCCAAATTTTGTGCAGATTAGTTAGGGGATTTTTGGCCAAAAATCCCTCTTAGAAATCCTTTTTTGTTATAAGGATAACTGTAAGTTTTCTACTTTCTAAAGTCCTCCAAAATCATATTTCTCTTCCATAAAAGATATAAATTTTATTTTCAGATTTTTTATGGACAATTTTGTTCTTCAATATACCGTTTGGTCGCATTTTTTAATTTATATTTCAAAACCCAAAACTTGTTTGTTTTTGAATTTTCACACAATATAATTTAAATCTACTTTTGAAAATCCAAAACCAAACAAGTATTGGGTTTTGAAAACTCTTTTTGAAACTCAAAACTCTTTTTCACAAAATATAATTCAAATATATTTTATCTGGCTTTCAAGTATTTATGATCTACATATATTTAAATCTGTTGATGATTTGCTTCCTATTGATGTAAATAGTAAATATAAAATGTGAAGAAATAAAAACAAATTTAATAAATATATAGCACATTGAACTTGTATTGATTTTTAAACTAGGTGATTTTTTTTTTTTGGGGTATATTTGTCATTATTCAGTAATTCTATAAAAGTTTTTCACAAATGCGAAACGATTTAAATGTACGTAGCTTGAGTAGATATAAAACTAGAAGATATGTTAAAAATTTTAAAACATTCATAAAAAATAGTAAATATAGAGTAATATTTTGCCGTATAGATTAGATTAGATATATCTAAAAAGTATAATTAGATAATGTATATTAGGGGTGAGCAACGGATATACCGATCCGTCCAAACCGATCAAACCGAACCAATCCACCGCATTTTGGATGGATGCGTGATAACGAGCGGATGGTTGTGGATTGATTTTTTCCAATTCGCCTAGTTTTGGATGGATGACAGATTTGAGATTCTTTTGGCTGCAATCGAATTGCCAAAAAACGAGTACCCCTAGTAATTTGTAAGACTTTATGTTTTCAATTTGTTTAGATTTTCTGTTTGTGTTTTCAATTGAAAAATAATTTAAATTTTCTATTGAAAAAAGTGTTCAACTTGAATATATTTTTTGAATTGAAAAAAATAAATGTATTATTTATCTATATTTTTTGATTTTTAAATCTAACTCTAAAAATAATAAATAAAAAAGATGATATATGCTGATTGATTTTTGTTTTCAAAAACAGATATATATGTAACAATACAAAGGCATACAATCTGTATTACTGCTCTGTTCATGGTTTCGGTGGTTTGAATGTTTTTATATTTTAAAAACTACAGATTGTAATACTTTATATGGATGAGGCATGCCGTGATTGTAATATGTGGATAAGACATGCAGTGATTGTCATATTCTAAAGTTTTAAACTTTCTTTATTTGGATGAGACGTGCAGTGATTGTAATAATTTTTTGAGTCATTAACTGTAATACTCTTTTTGTTTTTTTGTTTTTAAGGAAGTGCACAAGTTAAATTATGTTAGAAAATTTTAAAATTCTAAACCACTAAACCGATCCGTATCCATTGGTCAATCTGCTCAATCTACATCCGCTGAATTGGCGAACGGATGCAGATTGATTTTTTCCAATCTGCTAATCTGACGAATAGATAGCGAATTGGAGATTCCGTAACCACAACCGCAACCGACCTGTGCCCACCCCTAATGTATATGCAAGAAGTAAACAAATTTAACGTTGGGCTTTGAACAAAATTTTTGACTATTAGACCAAAAAAAACAAGACTTACAAGAACTCAAAATTGAGTTTTGAAAACTCATGACCAAACAAGTTTTGAATTCAATTTTCTAAAAGCTCTTTTGAAAACTAATTTGACAACTCATAACTAAATAGATTTTGAATTTTTAGAACTCTTTTGAAAACTAATTTGAAAGCTATTTTTGAAAACTAATTTCAAAACTAAACCAAACACAACTCATAACCAAATAACTTTTCAATTTTTTAAACTTTTATCAAAAACTTATCTTCCAAAATTGATTTCAAAATTAAACCAAACGCAATCTCTCTCTCTCTGCATTAATGGAGATCACCGCCGGCGTTCTACCAGCGGCTGATGGTGGTCACTAGAAAATTGTCGCTGGCCAGTGGTGGTCAACGGTGGTTGTGGTATTGTAAGATGGTGGGAGAGAAAGCTAAAAGTTGATGGTATTTTTTTTCACAATTACTTAATATTTTGAACTTGGTCCTTAATGAATGAAAACTTTTTGACTTGTCCTTTTGACAACAATATTTGAGATTAAGGGACTTCTGATCAAAACCCCTTTAATTAGTGTATTGGGTAAGTAGATGTAAGAAGGAGGCATCAGGGAATTAATAGATATTTCCATATGTCTTGGAAATTGATGTTAGCCTATTCAAAATGAAGAAACAGAGGCATTGCCATTTCACATGCTCATCAAAACTATGAGGAGACCATGATTCTTCATGTCTCCAGATCTTTCTTCATATGTCTCCAATTGATGATAAGAATACATTGCATTTGATTTTTAAAAATGCATATCTATTATGCAAGCCCACTACACGACTAGTTCATGCATATCTATTTCTTTACAAATTTTCACAACAAATATGTGGCCATCCAATTGCAAAACATTTATAGAGAGAGGAATCGAGAGAGAAGGAAAGTTGGGTTATGTATTTGTGTTTTTCAATTCAAGAGGGACAGCCTGTTACCTTGTCTCTTATGATCTTATCTACGTAATGTGTGAACACAATATAGCCAGTAACAAGTGCATGCCAATACCATTCCATGCATTCATGTGGATCGAGCACAAACATCTCAATCACAACACTAGACATTATCATTCAACGTTTTTAATTAAAACATGTGGTAACAATTGGCGATCACCAGCGCTGTGCTTGGTTGGGGGATTTGAGAAAGGATTTGGAAAAGGAAAGGGAAAATGTGTGTGAAACTAGGTGAAATATAGGTATGTTTTATTCACATTTTATCTATCTTTTCTATTTCTCTTTCCAAATCCCTCCTTAAATACCCCAATCAAACACAGCATAAAAATATCTTTTATGGCAATGTCTGTTTGTATTAGTGCAAAATTCATATATGGATCGGCAAGAATCAAAATCATTAGGTCTGAGTTTGTAAGGCAAGAATATGCCTTCATACATATAAACAATTCATACCATCTAAAGTTAGATTTCCATTAATTAATCACTTTTGGGATTATTAAAATTTTAAATCATTAGGCTTCCAACATTGTTAGATTTTACTGACTGGCTTAACATCTTGGTTTTGGTATAACAAAGCGGGCAGG